TAATAAACATTTGCAAACTTATCAGCCTCAGCCATGTCCGCGATAATTATTAATATACGTAGAATAAAAGTAATTATATTTCTATATATTACAAAATGAAGCTCTGGTTCTTCAATGATAGGCTTGAGAAGAATCAACATGCACTTCTGAAAGATTTCTCTCTGTGCTTTTCGGAACTTATCAGACTTTTTTGTTTTAGAATCTTTAGCTTTTAAGATTAAAAATAAGGATGTCTTTGTAAAATTTGTTGTACTAATGCGAATAATTTCGAAAATTCTCGATTACAATGCTCACACTGCTAGCACATTTTAAGAAAAAGCAAAAAAAAAAAAACAAGAAAAAAAAAATTAAAAAAACCAAAAGAGAAAACTAGAAGCAAAAAAAAAAGCAAAAAAAAATGAAAAAAAGATAAAAAAAAAAATAGATATAAATATAAAAAATAGAATAAATCGAATATAAAAGATAGAGTTGGATAGATGTATTGAATGTAAAAGATAGAATATAGAAAGAGTATCTAAAAAAATCAAAAAGAGAATAATTATAAAAATGATATAAAACAATATACAGTATATGGTTTATTATTAATACTTATCGATTTACAGTTTCTTTATTTTAATTATTTATATTCTAAAGAAATTAATAATATATATGGTTCATTATTGATACTTATTGATTTACAGTTTCTTTATTTTAATTATTTATATGACATACTATTATACTTTATATTATTGACGTTTTATATATTTTAATATCGTAATAAATCTTAGTGATGATTATGCAATATATCTCAGATATAATATACAAGATAAATCTTAGAAAATTGTCATTACAAGTATAATGACAAAACAAGATAAATATTTACTATTGTAATTCTTTACATATCATTTACTGTCATTACAGTCATTAGATTTTAACTTTTATTTTTTTGTTTGCGAAAGTTTTACCAAATATAAATACAACAGATTTTAATCGTTTAAAAGATAAAACATTTTTGACTTCTTTAGTTTTGGAAAATTTTAAAATGAATTCTAAACCAAGAGACAATTCACCCATTCCTCCTGCTACCCCTACATCTCCAACTAATATCGCTTCTTCCCATTATCAACTGTCTCTAACTAATATCGATTCTTCCCATTAACAACTGTCTCCAACTTATAACACTTCTCCCCATCTACAACCGTCTTCAACTTATAACGCTTCTTCCCATCAACAACCGTCTTCAACTTATAACGCTTTTCCTTATCAACCTCCCAATCCAACTAATATCGTTTCTTCTCATCAACCTCCCAATCCAATTCTCTATACTAATTACGTTTCATCTGACTCAGCTGCCTCAAGTATTAGAAGTATTCAATGAGCCTTTTTAGCTATGAGTGGTATACCCTAATTAATACAATCTCGCCATCAATCTCGCCATCAATCTCGCCAACGATCAAGCCAACCATCTAATTCTCAACAATTATCTTACTCTTGCTATGACTCACATTCATCTCCATATAACAATAGAGATCGTTCAGTATCTCAACAGTGCTCACATCTACCATCACGACAATTACGACATAATGATAATAACAATAGAGATCGCTCACAATCTCCACGATGTTCTAGTCCAGAAACACGAAGAAGATCACGTGAACGACGATCATTCAATAATCAAGGTATATAATTAGTGATCAAAACAATATATAACGATAAGTCTTTTTTTTCATGTAACTAAAAATTGAGATTTTTCCCTTTTACTTTTTTTTTTTT